CCCAACAACAAAGAGATTGCTTTCCTCCATTTAGGAGGTTGTCTGATGCGTGTGATACGAATTACAGAAAACAGTTTGAAAAAAAACTATGATCCATTCAGTGTTGAGTCACACGTGCGGTGCAGATTGAAGCTCAGGTTTCATAGCTAATTGGCACAGTAGTTGTTCAGCAGTTCAGGTCAGGTTTACATCAGGTTCAGGACAGGATTTTATCCTGTTCACACATGTGCAGTTTAGAAACGGTTCCCATAGAAGTCGATAGACTGTAATCCAGTCTATCGACTGGATTACAGTCTATCGACTTTTTCAATCCGCACCGCCAGTGCACCGGACATATGTGAACAGGCAACATAGGAAGCAATGTTATTTCACGTCATGCAGACTGGATGCGGTTCAAACCACATCCAATCCGCATATATGTGAACGGGCACTTAAGCAATTTCTCTTCTTTCACACTTTTTTGTTTTTACTTCTTGACATACCAGGCATATCTGCATATATGAGACAACTGCTTTCAATTTAATTTCTTTTCAGGAAGCATGAGCTACAAGGGTCCAACAATTTTGTCCATGTCTGTAAATCATTCAAGGAAAAATGGATTTGCTTTGATGAAATCTCACAGAATGCATTTTGGGTTTTTTTTTTGGGCAAATTCAACAACCAACCAAAAACAAAAAAGAAAAGAAAAGTTATCTTCATCCCTTTGACTAAAGCCCCACTTTCATATGTTATCTACCAACAGGTCATTGCTCTAAAGCTTGACAAATGAAGAGCCATGACAGCTGTGAGTCCAAACTTAGATACCTCATTTATACAAATGTGCCCTGTTTTATATTATGGGAATTTGATGATGGATAGAAAATATATTTACTTCTCCTTAGCTGGAGGAGCAGGGTTTGTCCATGCATTTTTATTTTTGAAGATTTTTTTTAAGCGTGAGCACAATTCTCTTGCATCCATTTTCAAGCTCCGGCCCCCACCCGTCGGCATATTCCAGCCATCTCTTCTTTCCATACCTCCCTCAGTCCTCCTTTTTCATTCTTTCTGTTACCCAGGCAACAGATATCTTACTTATGTGGATCCCTCGCGTCTCTTTCTCCCGTTATCTTTCTCTTTTCTATTCCCCTTTCATCTATCTCCACATCTCTGCCTACATTTAAACCTCTGTCTTTGTCTCTTCTTACTTTAATCTCCTTCCGCCTTCTGTTTTTACAACCAGCACGCACAGCTTTGGATGCACAAACCGACACAAAACAACTCTTATTGGGAAAAAAAAAAAAAAATGTCCAGTTTTGCTGGGGCAAACGTTTTCAAATTGCGTTTTTTTTTTTCTCCAAATGTCAGATATTTTGTCAATCCTTGTTTACAGAAGTTCTGAGATTGTGTTCCAATTTGTAGATAAAATAATGGAGCCGTTTTTAATTTCAAATCTAAACTCCAAGCAGAAAAAGTATTAAAAAAAAAAAAAACCATGAAAGCATTGTAAATCCACTTATGTATTTATAAAAAAAAGAAATCGTGAAATCTGTTTTTACATAAGAGCTAGCATAAGTACCTGATATCAGCAGCCTGTAATCCTCTGTACAGCAGCAAGAAACACCAACACAAAGAAACATCTCTATCGTTGATAAAAGGACTTGGCCCAAGAAAGCATTCTTTGCTAAACTGTGATATACAGTCAGGTCCATAAATATTTGGGACATCGAACACAATTCTAACATTTTTGGCTCTATACACCACCACAATGGATTTGAAATGAAACGAACTAGATGTGCTTTAACTGCAGACTGTCAGCTTTAATTTGAGGGTATTTACATCCAAATCAGGTGAACGGTGTAGGAATTACAACAGTTTGCATATGTGCCTCCCACTTGTTAAGGGACCAAAAGTAATGGGACAGGATAATAATCATAAATCAAACTTTCACTTTTTAATACTTGGTTGCAAATCCTTTGCAGTTAATTACAGCCTAAAGTCTGGAACGCATAGACATCACCAGACGCTGGGTTTCATTCCTGGTGATGCTCTGCCAGGCCTCTACTGCAACTGTTTCAGTTCCTGCTTGTTCTTGGGGCATTTTCCCTTCAGTTTTGTCTTCAGCAAGTGAAATGCATGCTCAATCGGATTCAGGTCAGGTGATTGACTTGGCCATTGCATAACATTCCACTTCTTTCCCTTAAAAAAACTCTTTGGTTGCTTTTGCAGTATGCTTTGGGTCATTGTCCATCTGCACTGTGAAGCGGCGTCCAATGAGTTGTGAAGCATTTGGCTGAATATGAGCAGATAATATTACCTGAAACACTTCAGAATTCATCCTGCTGCTTTTGTCAGCAGTCACATCATCAATAAATACAAGAGAACCAGTTCCATTGGCAGCCATACATGCCCACGCCATGACACTACCACCACCATGCTTCACTGATGAGGTGGTATGCTTAGGATCATAAGCAGTTCCTTTCCTTCTCCATACTCTTCTCTTCCCATCACTCTGGTACAAGTTGATCTTGGTCTCATCTGTCCATAGGATGTTGTTCCAGAACTGTGAAGGCTTTTTTTTTAGATGTCGTTTGGCAAACTCTAATCTGGCCTTCCTGTTTTTGAGGCTCACCGATGGTTTACATCTTGTGGTGAACCCTCTGTATTCACTCTGGTGAAGTCTTCTCTTGATTGTTGACTTTGACACACATACACCTACCTCCCGGAGAGTGTTCTTGATCTGGCCAACTGTTGTGAAGGGTGTTTTCTTCACCAGGGAAAGAATTCTTCGGTCATCCACCACAGTTGTTTTCCGTGGTCTTCCGGGTCTTTTGGTGTTGCTGAGCTCACCGGTGCGTTCCTTCTTTTTAAGGATGTTCCAAACAGTTGTTTTGGCCACACCTAATGTTTTTGCTATCTCTCCGATGGGTTTGTTTTGTTTTTTCAGCCTAATGATGGCTTGCTTCACTGATAGTGACAGCTCTTTGGATCTCATCTTGAGAGTTGATAGCAACAGATTCCAAATGCAAATAGCACACTTGAAATGACCTCTGGACCTTTTATCTGCTCATTGTAATTGGGATAATGAGGGAATAACACACACCCGGCCATGGAACGGCTGAGAAGCCAATTGTCCCATTACTTTTGGTCCCTTAACAAGTGGGAGGTATATATGCAAACTGTTGTAATTCCTACACCGTTCACCTGATTTGGATGTAAATACCCTCAAATTAAAGCTGACAGTCTGCAGTTAAAGCACAACTTGTTTGTTTCATTTCAAATCCATTGTGGTGGTGTATAGAGCCAAAAATGTTAAAATTGTGTCGATGTCCCAATATTTATGGACCTGACTGTACATTCCAACAAGTAATGTTTCTGGAGGAAACCTTGTGGTTGGAATCGTATACAGTTTAAATATTACAATGGGTTGGATCATAATAGTAGTATATTGCTTAGACTCATATCACCATTGCACAAGTGCACTTTACAAGGGTGAAACATGGAATACTCTCTGAATACTGTGAATGACCCCAAGTCCCCATGCACACTGGGCGTTTTAAAAATGCCAGTAGCGTTAGCTGTATAAAAATCATGTTAAAAAAATGGGCGTTTTTCCATGTATTTTTATTAGCGTTTAGCTGCGGTCTCATGTTTAGGTGCGTTTTTTCCACATTAGCATTTTTTTAGCACAGAAAAAAAAAAAAAAAACATTCTGGCTCAAAAAAACGTTCAAAAGGCTGGTTTGCCACGTTTTATCGTATTTACCAGCATTTTTACACCTAAAAAAACCTCTTAAAACCCACTAGTTCTGGAGTTTACCACCACTTTAAAGCGATATTACAGGGAATTTTTTTTCCCTTTAAAATAACAAACATGTCATACTTACCTGCTCTGTGTAGTGGTTGTGCACAGAGCAGCCCCGATCTTCCTGTTTTCGGGTCCCCCTGGCCCCTCCCTCCAGCCGATTGCCCCCAGAACAAGCAGCTTGCTCCCAAGCCACTGCTCTGCCTGTCCACACAAAGCTGCATCTTGCCCCCACCATCTCTCTCTCTCTCTCCTCATTGGCTGTGATCCTCAGCCAATCAGGAGGGAGAGTCCCCGGAGGCTCTTGTGCACAGCTCTGGATTGTGATGGATCTCAGGCAAGTATTAGGGGGGTTGGGGGAGCTGCTGCACACAGAAGGTTTTTTACCTTCATGCACAGAATGCATGCAGGTGAAAACCTTGAGCCTTTACAACCACTTTAAAGATGGGAACTGACTATGTATTCAATGCTGTCCATGTCTTCCTGTGTTGGAGACAACTACACTCTCCATGTACAGACATCAAAAGGGACAGAAAGTGAGAAGAAATCTCTCAAATGTGGTCAAAACCTCATATAAAAACCTCTGAAGATATTTAACTCTGCCCCACTACTAAAAATACAATTGGCCGGGGTAAAACTTTAATTCTGATAGTCACTTCACTTTTGTGGGGACTTTTATGGTGTTTTTTTTCCTACATTCTGAATGAAGAAACTCCATAGAAGGAACTTGCAATAACTTCTAAATCTGAATGGTGAGCAGCCAATACTTTTTCTTCTCAGGTAACTGGTAAGTTCCCATCCCATTTTAGCTTCAATTGTAGAAAACTTGTTTTGCTTTTTTGATGAACAAACCTATCATCACATACTTTTCAGAATATTACCAGATGAACTAAAACCTATCCATGTACCTGATACTGAAGTTAATGCAAAAGACATGCCTCCACCCATATGGAAGAAAAATATATTTGAAATCTATTTTTTAAATATTCTTCCCAAATATATTGCCATATATTTGAAATGATACAATTTTGGCCATATTCAATATATTTCAAAAATTTCAAAAATACTGTATGTCTTTCTTTAACACCTCCCGCCCGCCATATAGTAATATGATGGATGCAAGGTGGTTCTCTCGTTCTGGGAGGACATCATATGATGTCCTCCCATTCTAACCGTGCATGTGCGGCTCCCGGCGCGCGGCGATCGGCGGTGCACTGTGTCCCTCGGACAAAGCTTATCACCGATCCACGGAAAGAGCTGAAGATGTCGGCCCGGTCATGTGATCAGCTGTGTCCAATCACAGCTGATCACATGTAAACAGGGAAATGCCGGTTATCGGCATTTCTCTCCCCACGAGCTGTCACGCTGACAGCTCGTGAGGAGAGGAGAGCTGGTAAATCGGCATCCCTCAGAGGGGACATTTACACAGATCATCAGAGCACTGATGATCAGTGTGCCCTGATGATCTGTGTAGCCCCAGCAGCGCCACCTGTCAGTGTCCATCAGTGCCAGCTCTCAGTGCTCATCCATGGCACCTGCCAGTGGCCATCAGTGCCACATTTCAGTGCCGCCTATCAGTGCCAATCAGTGCCGCCTAACTGTGCAAGTCAGTGCCACCTAACAGTGCCAGTCAGTGCCGCCTATCAGTGCCATATATGAGTGCTGCCTTTCAGTGATGCCTGTCAATGCCCATCAGTGCCACCTACCAGTGCCTCCACATCAGTGCCACCTATCAGCGTCCATCAGTGCAGCCTCATTAGCGCACATCAGTGAAGGAGAAAAATCACTTATTTACAAAATTTTATAAACAAAAACTAAGAAAAAACTTTTTTTTTTTTCAAAATTTTCAGTGCTTTTTGGTTTAAGAAAAAAATAAAAAAGTCCAGAGGTGATTAAATACCACCAAAATAAAGCTCTATCACAAAAAAAATGATAAAAATGTCATATGGGTACAGTGTTGCATGACCGTGCAATTGTCATTCAAAGTGCAACAGCACTGAAACCAGGAAATTGGCCTGGGCAGGAAGGGGGTATAAGTGCCCTGTAGGCTAGTGGTTAAAAATACAAATCTACATTTTTGGAATGCATTTACAAATTTTTGTAAAAAAAATGTTAAAATGACTTTATATGTTCAGAATTTTTTTTAACAAATAAAAAAGTCATTTTAACATTTGTATTTTTAAAGACATACAGTATATTTGAAATGTATTTTTAAAAATATTTTTTATATATTTTGTAATAAAATCCGCATTATATATATATATTTATTTATTGAAATATATGGCAATATATTTGGGAAGAATATTTTAAAAATATATTTGAAATATATTTTTCTTTCATGTGGGCCTGCCCATCTTCATAGGTATGAACATGACTTTTTTGCATGTTGGAAGCTGAAGGCTGGCTGTTGAGACATCTAAGGTAGAAGATAATAGATCATGTCTATGTGTCCTCTGCCGAATAGAATTAGCTAAAGGTAACCATGGAAATTCTGGACAGTATCTATGAACTAATTTTTAAACATTAATTTAATGATCAGTACTATATTGAGGACTGGATTAAACAGGTTAATTCTGTTATGGAAGCGGAGGAATGGATACATACTTGCCAGGGTAGATATGAGAAGTTTAATTAAAAGTGGAAGATTTGGAAGAATGTTGTCTCGTGAGGGAGGTCGGCACTGAACAAGGGATGGGCTTGATTTGATAGATGCAGGAACATATTAATTCAAGGCATACCAGGATTTATTTCTTAGCATATGGAAAAGGTCCTCTGGGCTCTCTCCCCGCTTTTTTGTTTTTTACCTCTCCTTTCGTCTACTTGTTCATGCAGTTAGATGATTACGTGTTAAATAATATAAGTTGAGATGAGAGAAGTGGTGTAGGGTTGTCCTGTGTTCGGGAAATATGTACTGGGGGTTATTTACTACAACTGGAGAGCACAAAATTTGGTGCAACTCTGCAAAGAATCCAGTCAGCTTCCAGTTTTGTTTTGTTTTTTGCCAAAGCCTTATGGAACAAGCTGAAGTTAGAAGCTACTGTCTTGTATGGGGGTTTGTTTTGGAGTTTGTATTTTTATATTTTTGGAATAAAATTATTGAAAAATAAGAACTAAAGATCAAAAAATAATAGTGATCAATACCTTGTAACCACCTGCATGAGCAAAGTGATTGCAATCAACAAAATATGCAATTTAACCTAATATTAACCTCAATTTTGGAATTTCATGTCTTCTTTGCCGTGTGGTTTCTGTGGATTGCATTTAAAAAAAAAAAACTGAACTATTAACATAACTAGACTTATCTACTCTAAGCAATAGGGGCCAGCAGGAGAAAAGGAAATGTAAGAAGAAAGGAAGACCCTACTATCATTTTTACCAGATGTAACATACAGTATGCTAGCCAAGCAATGTTTTCTGGGGATGATTTATCCACCTCCAATGTTAGTTGAAGTGCTATTCCTATCATTCCTGCTATCCCCACAGTTAGCCTCTGATCAACCCAGCAGGAGGAGAACCCACCAAGATTTCGAGCAAAGTAAACTTCATATGTAATCTAACACGAGTCAAGGCAGTCCCAGGACTGAAACAAGTTCATTTTAGGATGTCCGCTAAAGGCAATGGTCACCAGCCTACTTCTAGAAGTGTGGACAATGAGAAAGCAGTGTAGAATTTGCATCTTAGTATTCAAATTACTTAGCACTTTTAAGAATGCGAATTTACCCTGGACCACCAGGACAATCTCACTGAAGCCTTTCAATTAAAGAGGCTCGGGTTTTGACAATGTGTTGAAGCTCCTTATGCGAAGCTAGGAAAGCAAGGCTCTTTTTTAATGTATGTGAAATGTGCATGAGTATTATGGGTAAAATATATGAGTATTATGGGTAAAATATATGAGTATTATGGGTAAAATATATACAGTATATCACTTATTAGAATTTAAATTATCTTTTAAACTACATATTTTTTGTTCACTTTGCCCTTCTAATTACATTTTCCAGTGATCGTACAAAACGTCAGTTCCACCCAGATCACACTGCTGTTTTTGTGAATGTCTTTGTTTCACATTTATTTATTTTATTTATTACAAGTACTTATATAGCGCTGTCAATTTACGCAGAACTTTACATATATTTGTACATTCACATCATCAGTCCCTAACCCTCAAGGGGTGTACAATCTAAGGTCACTTTCAACCTTCTGTCACCAGGACAGGAAATCACCCCAATGGGAACATGGTCAGCAATTAGAGTTTCAGTCCTGGGACTGCTTTGACTCATGTTAGATTACATATGAAGTTTACTTTGCTGGAAATCTTACACTAATTTATCCAAAATAAAAAAAAAAAATGACTGGAGTTAGAAAAAAATGTCAATTCCCCATAATATAATGGGACACACACACACACACACACACACACACACACACACACACACACACACACACACACACACACACACACACACACACACACACACACACACACACACACACACACACACACACCTTAAAAGCGGAGCTCCACCCAAAAGGGGAAGTTCTGCTTTAATGACTGCTCCCCCGCTGCAGGGGGGGAGCAGGTACCCGCTCCCACTTCTGGTCCAATCGCTTAGGCGACCGGAATGTGTCCTCCCTGTAGTCTTTTAGGACACATGACAGGTCCCAGATGACTACAGGACCATTCAAGAAGTGCAGCGCTACTCACGCATGCGCAGTGGGTACCCGGCTGTGAAGCCGCAAGCTATCACAGCTGGGTTCCCAAACTGAAGATGTGGCCTCCTGGAATACAGGACGGCCGGCGAAACGAGCTGCGGGGGACACACCGCGGGACCAAGGGACAGGTAAGTGGCTGTTTTTTAGATTTTTTGTAGCTGCTGACTTATTTTTTGACAGAGTGAGTGGAACTCCGCTTTAAAAACTGAGCGCAACAAGAGTAGAAAGAATTTTAAAGGGCAAAGATCCAAAGGGTAGTAGTGTTTTTACATACATGTTTTTACATATAGTACATGTTACATGTTTTTACATATAGTCAGCCTATCATTATCTACCTTAGGCATAGCTACTATTTTTAATGGATTTTGTAGCTTTTGTGAAAATACAAACTGTCTAAGAATGCCTGCTCCATCAAGATATTTTGAAACTTGCATAACTCGTCCAACCAGCCTACTGCTTGTATCTGGGACTATTGAGTGCAGTACTAAGTCTGGGTGCTGTGCTGTTTTCAGGAAACTATGTACTGTACCCTGCTGGCCCTTCCCAGCCATGATCTGCCTGCATTGGATATAGACACAGACACCCATTGAATATCTTATTGGGTCTAATTTAAGATATATAAGATTAAACAGACCAATTGTATTTAAATACTTAATTAACATGTTGATGAGGGGGGAAGGAGGAACCAGGCCAGGCAAGAAATAGGCAGATTAACCTTCAGCTTTAAAGATTCCATTTATGTTTTTCAACAACACAAAAAACAAGCTAAACATACAGAAGGGCCAATCCCACAAAAAGGTAACCTTTAAAAAAAAAAAAAAAAAAAACAGTGATGTTGATAGGTAGATTGATCATTTTATTTTTTAATGGGCAGCACAGTGGCTAAATGGTTAGCACTTCCGCCTGACAGTACTAGGGTCGTTGGTTCGAATCCCAGCCATGGCACCACCTGCCTGGAGTTTGCATGTTCTCCCTGTGCCTGCGTGGGTTTCCTCTGGGTACTCCTGTTTCCTCCCACACTCCAAAGACATGCTGGTGGGTGAATTGGATCCTGTCAAAATTGTCCCTAGTATGTGTATGTATGAATGTGAGTTAGGGACCTTAGATTGTACACCCCTTGAGGGTTAGGGACTGATGTGAATGTACAAAATATAGATGTGTAAAGCACTGCGTAAATTGATGGCGCTATATAAGTATCTGAAATAAATAAATAATCCCAGTGTTCAAAAACCGAGGAAAATTGTTGGGTGTTCCCAGCCGCTAACAGTTTATAGTTTTAATCTTTATTGCCCAATAAAAAGACAAGAAAGTTAGAAAAACGATATACATTAAATTTGAACCAGTTCCAGAGCTGCTTGTCATGACTTGTTAATTCAGCAGTGCTATAGGAGAATGAGGGCATTGTATTAATAACAATAACATTTGTTTGATTCTATTTTTGAGGACAGACATTGCACAAAAGGACAACATAAATCCAGTTTGTCTAGTTTCTCCAGTTATTGAGATACACTAAAATCCTGGTCAGAGGAACACCTATAGGTTACCCAGATGTTGCTAGTAATACATAATGATCCATAATACACCTCCCCCACTAAATGGTTAGGTAATGGGGGAGGTGTGTTATAGATCTGTATGTAGTTGGGAAAGGTGTATTGTAGGTTAGGAGTTTAGGGTTATCCCCTGACCTACAATACAGCTCCCCCAGCTACACACAGATCCATAATACACCTCCCCCACCTTGATCTACAGTACACCCTCACCCAGTAGCTACCTACAGTACACCTCCTCCCCTAGTACCTACCTACATTTCATATCACCCAGTATGAGCAGCACACCTACAGTACACCCCCACCTACTGATCTACAATACACGTCCCCCAGTAATTACCTACAATAACCTACCGATCTATAGTACACCCCACCTACCGATCTAGATTACACCTCCCCATGTACAATACACCTCTCCATCTGCGTATTTACCGTGAGGATAGGATGTGCATAGGAATTAGTTCATATTTTTTTCAAACTATAGTCTGTCCCCCAAACGTCTGAGGGACAGTAAACTGGCCCCCTGTTTAAAAAGATTGAGGACTCCTGATGTAAACTATAGATCTACAGTATACTAACTATCTCACACATTCACACTGACCTTGGACTACTTCAGCAGAGCCACAAAAGAATTAACTT